GGGCCTGGCGGGGGGTGAGAACTGGGTGGAGGGAAGCTATGGGCAAGTGGGGGGGAAAGAGGGACCTCTGTAATAATCTCAACAATAAAATTAATTAAAATAAATAAGACTGTTCTCCTTGAGGGAAAATATTAGAACAGCATAGCAAATGAGTACGTTTCCACTGTGTCGTTAGCACACTAGTTGTGTTTAGATTTCATATCTCCTTTCTAACTACCATGGTTCCTGATGCTTTCCCTCACTTTTTGTTTAGGACCTGAACTTTGCCTCTTGGACCTAATTATTGATATTACCTCTCTGATAATAACCAGAGGAGCATATCTGCCTATATGTGTCCACTCTGAGTAAGCTCTATTCCTGGAATCATAATCTAGAGTGATAACTTAGTCTCATAGAAATTAGTCTTGAAGAGACCAAAAGTGAGCACTCTGACATATTTATCTCATAAATTTTATTGTGTAACTTCCAGTGACACATTTTCAGCAACCAATAACAGAAGAGCCCTAGGTGGTTTGGCTCAGCGGTTAGAGTGTTGGGCTGCGAACTGAGGGGTTGAAGGTTCAATTCCAGTCAGGGCACTTAGCTCTGTTGCAGGCTTGATCACTAGCCCTGGTTGGGGTGCATGCAGCAGGCAACCAATGGATGAATCTCTCTCACACTGATGTTCCTCTCTCTCTGTCTTTCCCTCTCCTTTCTACTCTCTCTAAAACTCAATGGAAAACATATTTTCAGGTGAGGATTAACAAAAACAAAAACAAAAAAAATAACAGAAGATATGAAGCCAGAGCAGCCTTTCTCAACAGAGAGAGAAGTAGGTTTTATTACACTAAGGTAACTATTGTATGCAGTGAATTAACTTCTTTCCTGTGTATCTAGATAGAGTGGTACTAATTATGTAATCATCTTTGGAGAATTGAGAAAAATGTCATTCAAATCATTTTTCCATGTTCTGTGACTCAGATGAGCAGAGAATGTGTGTTCTTGAGATCCTCAGAGAATGTGTTTGGGTGATGACAATGGCTTTGTGATTGTCCTGCCATGTCAAAGAAAGGTCCCCACTGGAGCAAAGACAAATTTAAGCTTAGGCTTTAGGGTCCCTCACTTGCACAGGCCTTTCCCAATGCCTTGGGAGAGACCATAGAAGTTTTGAATATATATATTCAAAACAGAAAAGGAAGGAAGAAAAGAATGGGGAAGGGAGGGAAGAAAGGAGGAAGGAAAAGAAAAGGAAAACAACTTGCTATGAATAGTATTTAAAAAACAATCTCAGTTCATTCTTTAGGCATATTGCTGCCCTTTGACACTGTCCTTTGTTATTTGCTTTTTATTTCCACTATATGTATATATATACATGCATATAAGTGTGTGTATGGATAATATCACATTCGGAAACTAGCCTATCTAATGAAGAGGGAATATTCTAATTGACTCTCACTCCCTTGCAAAGATGGCAGCACCCACAGCCAATAAGGAGGGACTATGCTAATTGACTGCCCCACCCTCAAAGATGGCGGTGCCCACAGCCACAAGATGGAGGTGCCCAGTCCCCTCAGCCCCACTGGGGCGGCAGGCACATGGCAATGCCGGGCTCGCGCTCAGGCAGGCCCGGCTGCTCCTCGCACCTGCCTCCAGAGTCCCCCAGTCCCCTCAGCGCCCCAGCCGCCCAGTGCTGGCCCGAGGCACAGGTAACCAGGGCCGGCTGAGGCTTGCATTGCCGGCAGTGGTAGCAGCAGAGGTGTGATGGGGCATCGCCTCCCACCCCTGAGGGCTCCTGGACTGTGAGAGGGGGCAGGCCGGGCTGAGGGACCTCCCCTCCAGTGCATGAATTTTCATGCACTGGGCCTTTAGTATATATATATATATATATATTTCAAATGTGAGATTACCAGAAAATCATCTTATTTCTTTTGATATCTCCCATTCACTCATGCATATACTGAAACAATAACACTATAGTGTAGAGCAAGCATGTCAAACTCGCAGACCGCAGACCGCATGCCTCATTTATTTGGCCTGTGTTAGCCTTTGAGTTTGACATGCTTGGTGTAGAGCATCTACATAGTGTAAGTATGATTACTAGTGTCCTTTGAATTATGTAATGAGAAATATATTTTTGGAGTTTTAAGCCCTCGTGAACTATAGAGGAGCCTTATATCTTTTTCCTCTAAATTTTTAAAAATATTGTTTCTTGAATTTAGGAAAATTGATGTAATTTAGATTTTAGATTTGCTAAAATTAGATTACACCCAGTCTTTTTCTCCAATCCTATGACATACTCTAAAATAACAAATTTAAGCTCTTTAACACTTCTCTCTTACATCATCTCCTGCCTTTACCACCTTCACACCTTATGTTCCAACAAAACTGGGCTGCTTAAAATTTTCTAATCCAGTTGACTCCAGAGCTAGTGATAGAAATTAAGTACATATACAAAAACATATCTTCCACATGGGTTTTTCCACTTTATAGGAGAGTAAATGGCTAATGAGCATGTCAAAAATTTTAACAAAATATTGGTAAGGGGCCCTGACCGATTTGGCTCAGTGGATACAGCGTTGGCCTGCGGACTGAAGGGTCCCAGGTTGGATTCTGGTCAAGGGCATGTACCTTGGTTGTGGGCACATCCCCAGTGAGGGGTGTGCAGGAGGCAGGTGATTGATGTTTCTAACTCTCTATCCCTTTCCCTTCCTCTCTGTAAAACATCAATAAAGTATATTAAAAAAAATATTGGTAAGGGGATTTTCAACTCTAAAAAAAAAGGAGGAGGCATGGCTGGGTAGCTTGGTTGATTAAAGCATCTTCTCAATATGCCAAGGTTGAGTGTTCGATCCCTGGTCATGGCACATACAAGAATCAACCAATGAATGCATAAGTGAGTGAACAACAAATCGATGTTTCTCTCTCTCTTTCTCTTCCCCTTCCTCTCTCAAATAAAAAAATAAAAATTTAAAAACAAATAAACAAAAAAGTGAAGAATATTTAATTATAATATTTTTAAAGCATAACAAGAAAACAAAGAAATATATAAACTATACATACTGGAATTATGATTCTTTAAAAACATCTCTTGACATTACAGACTAATGCAAAGATTAGTGGCTTCAACTCTGCTTGCACTGACAATACTTGTCATTCCAGGAGAGGTATTGTATGTAAAGCTAAGAGTAAACAGAACCTAAGTAGGACTCCTAAGATTGCATTTCTATACCTTAATTTGGACAATTATTGATTATATTTAACAGGAAATATAGTTGACTTCCCATAGGAAATAAGCTCCTCCTGCACTATTTTTCCTCCCACTGGAAAGAAAATATTTTGACTGAGAAAGTAGAATAGAAAGCCAGTTATATAGATGGTGTTCAAAACAAAGTTATTGATTTTAGACTTCATTATAGCTTGTGTTCAAATAAATCAAAAGAGACCTACGAGACAAATGAAGAAAATAAAATAAAAATAGGGGTTATTCCTGTCTCTTTAAAAGATCACTAAAGAAAAAAAGAGGATGAGTCACAAACTACCTCAGCAGAGCTGAAAATTGGGGCAATTCCCTAGAACTCTGTGTGGGGAAGTGGGGGTGTAGTGTGTTTCTACTTAGCAAACAAGCACCTGGCAACAGCAGGGCAGTGACTCAGGACAGTGACTGCTCCAGAGAGGGAGGAAATGGCTCAGCCACTGCTAGAGGCAGGTCTGAGAGCTGTGTCTGAATAATCAGTACATGCCAGGCTCCATTGTCTTAGAAAGAAAAGGTCAGACTGTTTATCCTTTATTCTTCTTAAACAACACTCCAGTCGCCTCTAATTTTCACATTAAAGGCAATTCTATTGTATGCTGTGATGTTAGTCTCTATCCAAACTGTTCTAGAACTTCATAAAGGGAAGTTAATAGAGTTAGATTACCTTAAGAATGAGAGAGAGAGAGAGAGAGAGAGAGAGAGAGAGAGAGAGAGAGAGAGACTAATCTGAGGCTAATTTGACAGATAATGTGCCAAGATTTTTGGCTTCTTGGTTGGTCTTTTAGGAAAGACCTAAAAACCAAAAAAAAGTCAGAAACTACAAAATGTAAGTTCAGCCCAGTTTTAAGGAAGGGTCATAAACAAGAAAGAAACTAAGGTAAATCATTCCAAAAGATAAAATGTGTGGACCTCAATTGTTATTGTGCATAACATCAAAACAAGCTGAGCAAATACCTATCATCTCTGGGAAGCACTCTGAGTTGCTTCTGAACCTAAGGAATCCTGTAGCCAGACAATTAGAAGTCAAAATGAAATCTGAATTTATCTTTTGGTATTGGTGAGAGCTCAATAATAAGAAAGTCTTATTTTGCTTGAAATCACTATCCATTAGATTGTCTAATGCCTGCTGTGACCTATTTGAGTTGTATCTGAATTTTAAAAATCGTTGTTCCATAGATTTAAACAGGGCAGTCCTGAAGCTCTTTGAAATGTAAGAAGTCTGATCCTATCTTATCCCTGGTGATCTTCTTTGAAAGCATGCAAGTGTATTTGTTCCACATATTTCTCCAAAGGAGGTTGCCAACCATCTTTTCTTGACTTGATCCCCAAATACTAATGTCCTGGTGCAGACCTAACCTCCTGTAAAATATTGCGTCTCTATGTTAAATGAACTAAAAGAAAAGAGTCTGGAGGCTTTGTTGGAAATAAATAATAGAGATTTGTTCAAGGGTCTTGGAGTTTGCAGATGGGATACACAGCTAGACAAAACCTCAGATGTTTTCCAAAGAAGAAAGAAAAGTTTAAAACTTCTTATAGTAAAAGGTACATTCTTGAGAAATATCAGTCCTGCATTCTTAGACCTAGGGTTGGTCCAGGATGTCAGGCAGTCAGGAAGATTCATGCCATGTGGTCTGGAAGGTGGGTGCCAATAAGTCTGGTCAGTCTCAGACTGGTCTGGATAATGGATGCCTGATTGGATGTATATGTGAATATTTCAGAGGGTAATCACTGGGTACATGAGCCCTTCAGGGGATAATTAGAAGGTTACCTAGAGGTCCAGATGTATATCTAGGCATTGATACAGGACTGGAAAGTTAAAAAAAGTTGAAGTTCCCAGGCTAGTTAAACAAGGGTGATGTCTTTCCAAATGCCTCAAACTTCATATGTTAATTATTTTAGCAGCTCGGTGAAAATGACTCCATTTTATATGTTCCATATTTTCACTCTTTCCTCACCTAAAAAATAAAAACAAAAACAGAGTGAAATGAAAAATGACAAACCGGTTTGGCTCAGTGGATAGAGCGTCGGCCTGCGGACTGAAGGGTCCCAGGTTTGATTCCGGTCAGGGGCATGTACCTGGGTTGCGGGCACATCCCCGGTGGGAGATGTGCAGGAGGCGGCTGATCGATGTTTCTCTCTCATCGATGTTTCTAACTCTCTATCTCTCTCCCTTCCTCTCTGTAAGAAATCAATAAAATATATTTTAAAAAAAAAGAAAAAAGAAAAATGACAAAGAAGAGCTCTTAAAAATCAACAATATGGCCCTAACCGGTTTGGCTCAGTGGATAGAGCGTCAGCCTGCGGACTGAAGGGTCCCAGGTTCGGTGCCTGTGTTGCAGGCACATCCCCAGTAGGGAGTGTGCAGGAGGCAGCTGATCGATGTTTCTTTCTCATTGATGTTTCTAACTCTCTATTCCTCTCCCTTCCTCTCTGTAAGAAATCAATAAAAAAAAAAAATCAACAATATGGCTTTGCCAGCTATGCTCAGTGCTTAAACGTTGACCTCTGAACCAAGAGGTCACAGTTTGATTCCTGTTCAGGGCACATACCTTGGTTTCGGGCTCGATCCCCAGTGGGGGGCATGCAGGAGGCAGTCCATCGATCAATAATTCTCTCTCATCATTGATCTCTCTCTCTCCCTCCCCTTTGCTCTCTGAAATTAATAAAAATATATTTTTTAAAAAGCAACATGCTAGATAATAAGAGATGAAAAATTATCAGAAAATAAGATAAAAGGATAAAGAAAATGTAATATACATTCTAGGGATTAATGTAGGAGAACATTTGAGGAAGGAGGAGTTTCAGAAAAAGAGCACAATAAAATTTCCTGGAACTGAAGCCATGAGTCTTCAGATTGAAAGGACCCCATTAAGTGTCAGCAGAATAAATGAAAGGCATATAGTCATCATATTACAGAACATGAGGGATGAAAGAATATTGAAAGTGTATTTCAAATCAGTTAACAGGCAAGGGAATAGGAACTGCATGGCATCTGACTGGTTAGAAGCAATTCAGCAACCTAGGAGAAAATGAAGCCATTCTTCAAACATTTTTGAGACAATGATTTTCTTTTCTTTTTTTTCTCCTTTTATTGAATTTATTGGGGTGACACTAGTTAATGAAATTATACAGTTTTTGGTGTACAAGTTTGTCAACACATCATCTGTACACTATATTGGGTGTTCACCACCACAAGTCAAGTCTCCTTTCACTACCATTTATCCCCTGTCCCCAAATTTCCTCCTCCACCTCCCACCCCAGACAATGATTTCTCTTAGACAAATTAATGGTTAAGTATGAGGATAAAGAAAAACATTTGAAGACAAATGATACTTTAAATGTATAGCTTTTGTAGGAAACTACTGAAGAATATACTGCAACAGATGAGAGCGTACCTCTGATCACAAACTTCAGGGACCACAGAAAGGAAATAATTTGACATAGGTAGGAGGCAAAGGAAAGTCCCAGAGTAATAGCGAAAGGACACCCTAAATGATAGCTGTGCAACAAACCCACAATCAATCAATCAAGATTTGAGCAGAAGTTGGGGGTAGCCTCTGGGGAAAAAAATAGAATTGATAAATTATCTGATATGTTTGAACACTGGAAAATACTGGTATTTGACAGATATGATGGAACATGTATAACATTTTTCATGAGAAATTATAAAATGAGGCTGTTATTGTTAAGAAATGACAAAATATGGCAATGATTAATTCTAGGAAAAATAGTGTTTTACAGGAAAGAACATGACTCTGAAGTGTCAACATTTACACAGACATGCAAACGTAACTCTGAATACCAATTTAACCAAAGATGCTATATAATAAAAGCCTAATATGTAAATTAGGCTAATATGCTATATAATAAAAGCCTAATATGTAAATTAGGACCAGGAGTTCAACCAGGGGACGAGACCAGGCCGGCTGGCCAACTGCCTGCAGCACCTCCCCACAGTCGGCCCTGCCTTGCGGGCAGTGGTGGCAGGTGGCTAGGGGAAGGGAGGCCCTGGCCAGCAGCTGGCAGCTGCTAGCATGTTAAACGTCCAGCCTGTTTTGTCTTTTGGACGGAAAGTATAGAGTCAGTCACTGGTGACTGACATGGCGCTTAACATGCTAGGGACCTTACCCATGCACGAATTTTGTTCACTGGGCCTCTACTTGCATTATAACTATCTTCGGAGAGTGACAGATATAAGGAAAGTGGGATTGGTAGTAGAAGAAATACAAATCTTAATTTACCTTTACGGGACATTAATAAATAAATTTGAAATTGATAAATAAGACACACCAGTATAAACAGATTACTTAGACATATGAAGCTAAATACCAGGGGGAAAAAAAGGTAAACGTTAAAAAGAGTTTCATCTGGGATAGGAGATGGAGATGAGCAAGGGATTACAGTAATCATAGTAAGAATACTGTATATTTAAAAGGTTATTACTTTAGCCCTGGCTGGTTTGGCTCAGTGGATAGAGCACCGGCCTGCGAACTGAAGGGTCCTGGGTTCGGTTCTGGTCAAGGGCATGTACCTTGGTTGCGGCACTTCCCCAGTGGGAGGTGTGCAAGAGGCAGCTGATCGATGTTTCTCTCTCATCGATGTTTCTGACTCTCTATCCCTCTCCGTTCCTCTCTCTAAAAAAATCAATAAAATATATATTTTTTAAAAAAGGTTATTACTTTACTTAATTTCTCTCTCCCTCTTCTTTTCTCTTACACACACACACACACACACACACACACACACACACACACTTCTGTGAATTATGACTTTGAATGTCCAAAGAGAGAAAACCATGAGCAAAGACTGATTTCCATTTTTATCACAATTTAGCTTATGGACTTCCTTGTCTTGACTGCTAAATGATAGCAAGACCTTGAATGGAGATGACAGAGTTAATCCCAGGACGTTGGAAGTTTTCTGGGACATAGTTTGTTGGGTTAAGGTTAGGATATGAGTGAGGCTAGGGCTCTGGGAGGGCTGTTGGGGTGCTTTAGGTAGTATATTACAAGTTAGGTTGCCCAGAGTGGAGGAGCAGAAGCATATAGCCAGCCTTGCCACTAGCCCAAATCATGTTTTTGTGCAAATTAGAAAAAAAAAACAACCACTTTCTCAAGCCATTTTACTGCCATCTGCCAGAAAATCATGGAAATAAGTTCATAAATCAGGAATGACTACTGATGTGAACCAAGACCTGTAGAATCCTGTAACAGCTCTGCCTATAACCAAAGGTGAGAAAAGTCTTGCTTACAAACTAATAAAATGTCTCGGACTCAATCCCTGAGAGGATTTGAGTGCTCTGAAGAAAAGCCTTCCCTGTTTCATAATTTCCTTAGGATTATTAATATTCTTCGGAATATTTAGATGATTCATTTCCCCTAAAGTAGGATCTATAAAAATGGGATATGTGTCATATTCATTTCTACAAAGCTCATACTAAACACTGATAATTTCACAAATGAAGGACTAATGTATTAAAAATTATAAAATCTGCCCTAACCGGTTTGGCTCAGTAGATAGAGCATCAGCCTGTGGACTGAAAGGTCCCATGTTCGATTCCGGCCAAGGACATGTACCTTGGTTGCGGGCACATCCCCAGTAGGAGGTGTGCTGGAGGCAGTTGATCGATGTTTCTAACTCTCTATCCCTCTCTTCCTCTCTGTAAAAAATCAATAAAATATATTTAAAAAAATTATAAAATCTTTGCATTCTGTTACTAGGATTTTATTCCTTTCACTTTTGAAAAGTATAGAGCCAGGGCTCTCATGACAACCTGTTTTGTTTTTTTTAATTATTAAATGTATTGAGGTAACATTGGTTAATAACATTATATAAATGAAGAGCATTCTCATAGTAAACTTCAACCTTAACTTTAACTATCAGGTCATAAGCCACACATCTAAGTACCTCATGTAAGTGGAATCATACAGTATTTGTCTTTTTTGTGTGACTGGCTTATTTCACTTAGCACAATGTCCTCAATGTTCATACATGTTGTAGCCAATGTCAGAATTTCTTTTCTTTTTTTTTTTTTAAGGCATATAATATTCCATTGTATTTACACACCACATTTTTCTTATCTATTCCTCTTTCCATGGACACTAGAGTTACTTCCGTGTTTGAGCTATTTGGAATAATGCTGCCTAACCATTGGTGTACTGGTCTCTTTGAGACCCTGCTTTCAATTCTTTTGAGTATGTACCTAGAAATGGAATTGCTGAATCATATGGTAGTTCTATTTTTAATTTTTTGAAGAACCATCATACTGCTTTCCACAGTGGCTGTAGCATTTTACATTTCCATCAAAGGTGCAGAAGGGTTCCAATTTCTTTATATCCTCACCAACACTTATTTTCTGATTTTGGATAGAAGCCACCTTAATGGGTGTGAGGTAGTAACTTGTTTATATTATTAGGATTATTTGGCCTACTTTGAATAGTTTTATAGCCTAAGTACTTTTGTTTCTATTGATTATTTTTTAGTCTATTTATAAAGCTTTGTTTTGTTGTTAGCAATTAATAGATAAAACATACTGCTCTCATTTTCTGAATATTGATCTATAGCATTTCTGACACGAAATAATCAGTGACCTTGAATTGATGACAATATCACATGTGCTTTCCAACCTTGAAATTTGATGTAAAAGTCAGAAAAACAAACCGGTTTCTTTTGTTTGTTTAAGGATTATATATTTGATAATATTAAGAATTACTTATAGGTAGACTATTATTTTAGCTATGACAATGGATATTTTGTGATTATATTTTAAAAAGTGCTCTTATCTTTTATAGATCTCTACTAAAATGTTTAAAGACAAAAGAATATTTATGTTTAAGATTTGCTTCAAATTAATTCAGTGGCAGGTAGGGAATAAGAGTAGGTAGGTTATAGATGAAAAAAAGATTGGCTATCAATTGATAATTGTTGAAACTGGGTGATGTATTCGGG